CATTAATTGAAAAGAAACGAATTAGCTTTGCTTAAATTAGTAGTTGTTAGTACTGGATCAAAGAAAAAGAAACCTATTTATTAATATCCATGGATCAATGAACATATATTGTGTCTGTATGTTTTCGTGTTCAGTTGAAGATAGAATACATCGATGTATGAGCATAACTTTGTTTATGTCCAATTTTGAAGTCGATAGCAGAACGAGAGAATACCACGATCAATCGTAGCATATCATGCATTTATTTATCATTGCCTTATGACTACATAGAGTCCGGCGTGACCATAAAGTCGTGACCAAAGAAACAAAGATTGTTCGATAATAATTTTCATATCCAACATGAAAATTATTATCGAACAATCTTTGTTTCTTTGGTCACAATTTTATGGTCACGCCGAACTCTAATTATGACTCATTATATATCATATCGATTAATTATTGCTATTGAGTATGAAGAAAAGTAGTCGGAAAAATCAAAGACGAAATCATATTAAAAAGTCTATAGAGAAAAACAGATTTATTTTATCGATATTTATTATTGAATTTTTACTATAAGATCATGATGAATTCCGAATGTCATTTAATCTATATCTTTTATGCATGTGCAATAGAGTTTAGATGTCGGCGAAGGAAAAACCCTCATCTGGATCTAGATACATATTCTCACACCTTGCTTACAGTAAAATGAAATGTTTTCATTTTGTTATTCATTAATCATTTCTGAAAATAAAATATTGAAGTTCAAGAACAGTTATGAAATCTTTAATTTTAAACTAGCTAGAACAGTTCAATATTGTACGTTGATCATTGTCATTAATTAAATAAAAAAAAAAACAAATTGATAGATCACACTTTTCTATATAAATCAATCATCCATGTGCTGACAATCAACTATGTTCTCGGCTTGTTTTTCACGATCAGTCTTCTAATTGATGAAACGGCATGGCAATATCAATAATTGATCATTTATCCATAACCATCATTGACTGTCTGTATATGTTGATAATATATATAAGAAGCGGTTTTTCTCTGCCAATTCATACAATTCAATCGACCAACTACTCTTCAAGATACTGAGTAAGTACACGTATCAATCTTTTCAGGTATTTCAATAAATATTTATTACAATGATGCATTAACACATTACATTACAAGAACATGGTTTCATATTATTATTTTTATATGTTTATGGTACATATGTATTACAACTTTTTTTAAAATTATTTTTTTGATCTATTCCAGATGGGATAATGCTTTACTATTCATTCATATATTATTCACAATATGTGACAATAGAAAAATTACTTTTACGCTAATCTGTTTTTTTTTCATAGATCCATTGTTGTGTAGTAGAAAGAGGTTCGATCTTATCTTACAGACCGTCAAGGGACTTCGTACCTTGACCCAGAGAGACTCAACGTGTCTGTTATGATAATGGTAGTGTAGTGCTCGGACAGGCTACTTTGTTCGTAGTTTTCTGTTGTCGTTATTGTATGTCATACTTACGTTCATTGTCCTACGAACCTGGTGTGGTCCGCTCTGTGTGTATCCGTTTCAGGCTCACTGGAAGTTATCCTGGTCATGCATGTAAGTACGATAATGAGCCAAGAAAAGCCGGAAGCAGCGAATAGCAATCAAAACCAATTTATTGAGTAAACCTGAACAAATAACAAACACACTTCCTCTTTTTTACGAAAGTAATATTATCTATCGTTGTTTGAATTGTAGGATGTGTCGGTGGAAGTGATTTTTGTTTGATGACAAGTGCCTTTTCTAGATATGAAAGTTCTTTTGAGTAGTCACCCATGTTGTTGTACACTTGAGCTATGTTATGGTATAAGTTGGTCAAATCGGGATGATCCTGCGGATGAGTTGTTCTTTCAATGTCAAGTGAATTTTCGCAAAATGAAGCTGCTTCTTTATATTGTCTTTGGTGCTGTTTTACATGCCCAAACTGGTGATATAGATATATGATTTATCACTGTCGTTGAGTGTCTATTCTAGTAGTTCGGTATACAATTCTTCGGCCTTGTCGTATTGACTTATTTTGAGCAGCAATTTATCCATTCGATACCACCCAGTATTATCTGAAGTTTCTTCACATATGCGATCGGTTAGTTTACGGAGTTGTTGATCATTATTTGACGTAAGTTCAAGTTCAACTTCATAAAGTGGACTTTTCTTGTCAAGCTATCGAACGTCACTAATTCGAAAAACGGTATTCATTGAGAAAAGGATTTCATCTTCCTCCTAGTAATAACTTACCTCGTGGATGGAAGCGAATGGAGTTGAAGAAACAGCAGGATCTATGCCCTCGATACACTAGAAAAGTCTTGCCATGATAAAACACTGATTTGTTTCTTGTGTAAGATTTCGATTTGTTGGTGAACATTACAAAGAAAAAAAACCATTTTAATAATGATGTTGCCGTCCAATGTTTGTAATGCTTGATTGAGCACTTTATACGTGAAGCACTCACGTGTATACCACCAAATGGTCATTGACGATTCATAGTTACATTTGAAGTTTTGAATAACTTTTGTTTCTTGGACATTACCATGGTACACTTCTTGTCAAAAAATGTGACGAAGCTTTTGATGGTTTTCTTGTCATGTTTCATATCAAGGAGGATTTCTTTGAATATTTGTGAATACATGAAGGTTGGTTCTAGCTTATCGGGATTTTTTGCTAGAACCTCCTCCATTCACACTGATAATACCGACCAACATGCTATCTCAATTGCATTGCTTGACAGTCATTTGCAATGCCTGACAGATGGGTTCGATTGAATTATGGATATCTTTAATTTTCGTCCAAGCTTCATGACACTGTTTGTTGCCACAAAATATATATATGGCATCTAATTTTGGCATGTCATGAATGTCTCGCACAAAGGTTTGTTCAAATGTTCACGTAGAGATAACAAATGCTGTCTCTTCATCATTTTCATTGAGACATTGAATACGTTATTCCATCATCGTACAATGATTGATTTAGTTGACAACACTACGCAATTGCGTGAGTGTGTATATTGACAATCTTCGTCTCTTCGGTCAATATTTCTATCGACCCAAATGATCAAATAATTTTCAGGCATGTGTCGCCTTCGTTGTACGGCTATCGACGAGCTTGTTGTATTTGATCTGGATTTTTGTCCATCCATTTGGGATATAATGTTTGATATTCAATTGATAATCGAGTGTGGTGAATAATAGATTATTATTTGAACACAGACTATCTTTTCTATTTATCCATTCGATGCCTGCTGATTGTTTTGTCTAGATTTTTCTTAGACATCAAATGTAGATGTTTTTTCTTGTTGAAACTCAAAGACACAGTACATCACAATATATTCATCACATTCGGCTTAATTCTTTGCAAGTGAGAATGTGACTATGGGTTTGTATCTGTAGACATCTCTGAGTAGATATCGATGTCGACGTTCTTTTCAAGCCCATATTAACACCTACATCCTCACATAGATAAGTAAACGATCAATCAACAGTATGCATTAAAATCATGTTAATTCGCATTGACAGAGTTCTCATAGTGATGAATTGACGAAAAAGAGTTGTGTGATTAATTCTGAAAACGATTACTTTTTTTCTTTATTAAGAAATAATTTTTTTCCAATGATCAAGTTTGAGTTTTACACCACATTTCGTAATCAAGTAAAAACCAAATGTCACCTAGTTTTCAAAAGTGCATTTACGGTAATGAAGATTATTTCTCTGTTATAAAACAAGGGTAACACTAGTATCATTTTCTTTCAGATAAGATTTAAAAATAATGTTGCATTTACAATGGTGCACAAAATTTTTCTTTACAAATGTTTAGAAAAAAAATCAGAATTCATGTGCACAAATAGAATTGCAAAGATTATCGCTAGTTTCAGAACGTTGTTTGGATGACTCAATGTCGTAGTTCAAAAACAGATTCTTTACCCTCAATACCGAGCTAGGAAATTGACATGTGGACATCATGCCATATTTATCGTAAACTAGATGAGTTGCTTCATATAAAGTTTCCCTTTGAAAAGTTCAAATCCCAAAAATGTAGCCAGTGTTTTCCCCATATCTATCCATAAGGAATCTGTTTTTTTTTCCACAATATTTTCAGAAAAAAGTGATTATCTCAGATTGTTACACGTCCAGTTATGATACGATTCAACTTTTTGAGTCGAATTTTCCCGTAAATATATTGCACATAATAATTGTACTATTTGCAAAAAATCACGTGTGAAAAGTCAACTTGTTAATGGAGTTATACTTAAAACAAAATCGTACCAAATATTTTTGTCATAAATAATTGAAAAGTTGTAACAAACAATTTTTGATAAATTATCCCGATTACTGAAGTTTAACTAACTAGAAGCTGTCATTACTCGAGAATAAGTTCATTCTCTCTCGAATCAATCCAAATAAACTTCATGATTTGAAACTACCTGTTTTTGCAAGGCACTATCTTTATACTCATATTAAATACAAAATAACTGATAACTAAACACACTTGAGTCACTTTACTTGTATCTTCCTCTCTCGAAATATTTATATATATATATTTTTTTTTTTCATGTTAAACTATTCAAAACTCAAGCGACAGTTACCTTTGACAACAACAGGTAAGTACTAATCCCTAGTAAATTTTCAATAGTGTATTTCATAATATTAAAAAAAGAACATTTTTTTTTCAAAAAAAAGTTTCATACCGAAAGACTTGAAGCTAAAGTGAAATATTTCAAAATAATTTCATAGCATGTCTCAACGTTTAAGATACAAAAGTAATTAATTGATTAAAAATTAAAATTTCGATTAAATTGCCTATAATCATTCCAGAATGATTTCATATTATATTATCAAGATATTAAAAGAAAAATATTAGAATTTCATAATTGAAATATATCTTGTTTTTTATTATATAAAGATGAGATTATACCAACATAACTTTTTTACATAACATATATATATATATATTTGATTATTTAAGATTCAAAAGATATTCTATCGACGATTATTATGATATGATGATGGACTCCGATCACGATCTTGACGATAATGATTATCCCGTGAATGATTTCTATTTTGTTGATATTTATATTGATTATTATCATTATTGTTATTATAACGATCATTTGAATAATACCGTCGTTGATTTCGATAATTATTTTTATCTTGACCCCAATCGTCAACTATAGGTGGAGTTTTAGAACGTGGTTTAGACATTTGAATATATTCTTTATCTTCATCAGTATATCGATTAGCAAACAGTTTGTTCAATTTGATAAGTTCTTCATCTTCTGTTGTCGTCATCTTGAAAGAAGAGAAGAATTAAATTTGAATTACTAATTAGTCTCTTTTATCTTAAAATATTAAAAATAAATCAATATATAAAAATTCATGAAAATAATTAAAATTTCTATTTTTATTTTATAAAAATCTTATTTCGTTTATGTTGAAGATTGTATTATTATCTACAAAATAAACAGATTCATATTTCATGCACAACTTATCAGTTGATATCATCATTCTTACTAAAACATAAGAAATATAATCATTAAGTTAATAATATCGATTAACAATGTGAATATCTGAAGGCTCAAGAGAAGACTTTATTACAAGAAGAGAAAACGATTAGTTTGAACTATATTTATATAGTCTTTTTACAAGTTCTTATCATTCTCTATCTTCGAGACATTTGAAATTATGCATCGTTATTTAGTATTCACATATGTTTTGAGCTATTCGCCATAAAAAGAAAATTTATTGTGAAAGTTTCAAGTCTTTTAATTTGCTTCTATCCAGAAATATTACAATTTTAAATCTACCATTATATATGAGCAATGTAAAAGACACTTTTTTACCATAATTGTATCTTAGCATAGGAACAACGCAAAGAGTCACAGTATTTATTTAAAAAATACCGTAAATATGTAGAATTTAGACAGCAATAAACTAAGGTTACGAATTCTTCTCACAATATTTATAGTTCATATAAGTCTGCGTTATGTATATAGTCTTGATTCAAAAGCGATTTATCAATTGGGAGGCTTCCCTTGTAAAAGAACATCGTTTTATTAAATATTCTAAATGCATCATATTACAAAGAGCATCATTGAAGTCCGGGCAAATCTCAGATAATTTACACGCATTTATTATGTACTTCGAGATGGTCTATTCACATAAATAATAGTTAGACGTCATTGGCGGATATTACTATATATAAATTAATTGATTAAAACCTATTTTCAATTAATTTGAAATAATCTCATCATTTTAATATTCTTTCGATTGCAACCATAAAAAATAAACTTATCGTTTTTTTTTTTCATGTTCTTCTATGATTATATATTAGAGACATTATACTTGACAACGATATCTTTAGTCAACAATATAATCTACCATTAGAAAAGAAAGAATATAAGAATCATTTGGTAACTAATAAAAAAAAAAAGAAGAAAGACGTGAGATGAGTCGTAAAATTCAATTAACATTAGGTCGTCAAAATGATGAAATATTTATTCCATCAACAAATCCAAGTACACAAGATGATGTTAAACAATTAGAAGAACGTTTTCATATGCAATTATATAAAGAATTAGCACTTGAAAATGGTTTATGTCCAAAACGTCGTCAAATATATGATGATTTATTTGATGAACTTATTCGTATAACTAAAATTCATTGTTTTGAACGTGGTCAGTTACTTGAACGAATTAAAAATGAACATCAACAATGGATGAATACATACGAAGAATTATATTCAAGTAGTATGGCCTATGCTATTAGACAATATTTATATAGAATGGAAGAAAAAAAACATTTAGAACTTACGATCGATAATTTAGAAAATGATTGTCAACAATTACGTAATGAACTTGAAAAAGAATCAATTAAATTTCAAAATTTAACTGAACAACTTGATCAAAATAATCAACAAGAAGATAATAAATTGCATAAATTACATAATACTGTTAAGTTTTTTCGTGCACAACATACAAGATTTCAAAATGATCTTGAAAATACATTAAATCAAATTTTATCATCAACTATTTTTCTTGGAGATTCAATCGATGATGAGAAGAAAAAAACAACATAAAACATGAACTTTACTTTATTTTTTATTTTGAAACTAAACAGACAAAAAGAAAGAAAAACAAAAAAAAATCATTAAAAAACAAAATGTTTTCTATTGCATAAATGGTATTGTCATTGGTGCAGGATTTTGCATGTAAGTTACGACAACAGCAGATATTGAAAGCCTAAAAAAAAATAGATTTAACATTTTTGGATACATTTATTTACGAAATAATGAGATTAAAAACAAAATTTATGATTTCAAATCGATTAAAATCTTTAATATGCTAAATATTCTTCCTTTAATAAAAGTAAAATATTTGTTTTCATTTCAATGATTTAAATAATATTTATGAAAATTTAAGTTGTACAAAGCTCGTCAAGTTTAAAAAAGTCAGAAATTTATAAAAATTAAAATCCACCAAAAGAGAGAAATGTAGAAACTAAAAAGCTATTGAAAAAAATGGATCTTTACAGATTGTGTGTAAGTTAAAGCCCATTGGATATTAGTTTAGATAAATTATGTGAACGTTTATTTTCATACTAAAATTCAATAGTTAAATACATACATAAAACTGCTAAGAACTTGTTTTGCATCATCCGATGTACGTGAATTAGCAAAACCAACCAATGCTAAAAAATATAGATAATCAACTAAAAAATAAATTTCAATATTAAATAATTATACCAGCAAATATCGCCACCCATGCACACCATTTTATCTAGAGAGAAAAAGCAATTTTTATGACGAAGTCTTTTTATTTCTTAAAATAACTTACTTTTAGCATTAATGAACACATAGAAAAGATCATACCCATTAAATTCATATAATCAGGAAGTGCATCATCAACCTGTGTGATTAATGCTGGTCGAAATCTATAAAAACATATTTCATGATATCATGAAATGAATAAAAAAAACTATGCATACCTATGAACACGAGCTGGCCGACGATTATCCATTGTTTTTTATTAGTAAAATAAATAAACTGAGCTACTAAAGAAATGTATTTATTTTTTACGTGCATCATGTATTTTTTATTGGTTTAAATCAATGATTTATCTCAATATCTAATCGATAGATGGTGTTAGAAATTGACATGCAACCTATAACATTATACGCTCAATAATGTCCTTATGATTAACAAGAATTTGTTTTTATAGTATCGTTTGCGACTTGCTTTTTATTACTTTTTCGACACTTAATTGAAAATCGCTATTGTGTGTCGCAATCATTTAAATATCGGAGAGTCATAAGCAAGGGGGTAAGTGCTGCACCATTGCACCAAAATATGCTCAAAGGTGCTGAAAAGGTGCTGAGGTGCCGAGATGGTGTTGAAAAGGTGCCGAGGTGCTGAAATGGTGCTGAGGTGCTGAGATGGTGCTGAGATGGTGCTGAGAAATTGCAGTGGCGCTCACAAAGTTTTGGGAAATATGATAGAAATTGAGGTTATCACTAGGGGTGAGAGACATATTATCATAACTTGATTTTTGTCTGCTCAAATAGTGAGTACACTCTAGAATCGGTCAGTATGTCCAGCCGTCCGGTCGTTAACACGATAACTTTTGAAAGGAGGGTTCAATCGCGAT